GCATCGTCAGTCACCTCCCCCGTTCAGAAGTTGTGCTTTTGGTAGCTTTAGGCCATTCCCCCTTCCTGGAAGTGGTAGTGGTAAGAGTAGTAGAGCAGCTGGATTTTTTTTTTTTCTGGGGAGGAGGGGGGTTCCTCCGGTTTTTGGGGGATTTGGGGGGGGGGGGGCGGCAAGCTTGTCGGTTAAGACGTTTTATTTTGGAGATGAAACAGTTCGGACGAGAGCTTGTGAAAGCACGTCGAGGATATAATAACGAAAAAACTCTACTCTATGTCGTCAGATGTACTTGCTCTCCGTGAAGATTACAGCAGTATTTTTTGCATGTTAGATGCATGCGTAATCCAACTGACTGCAGCTGATGAGGGGATGCGTAAAAACACTGGTGAAAGGCTAGATCATGCTTTTGTGTCTGCCGAGGCTCCCCAGGTCCTTCGTTCAAGAGGAAATCGGTGCTCAGAGGCCGATGCACGTATGGAGTATCGAAGAGCCAACATAATCGCCGATTCTTGGAGGAACAAAGGCGTGCTGTGCACAATTCATCGACGAGCCTTGGGGAAAGAAGCGCGTACCTCGCGCAAAGCCGCTAGTTCCTTGGCGATCTCTTTCTCTTCCTCCTCGGTGGGGCCCCACAGCCCTCCGTTGAGCCTCTTGATTCGCTGGGCGATCTTGCTCCGTGGTAGACCGTACGCACTCAGCGATGGCTTCATATTGTTGACGGGTCACGTACGTACGTGGACGGAGTATTCGGGGCAGACCGAATAGATTGATTGGTGGTCGTGTCAAGTACATTACCGTAGAGGAATTGTAAGTGCAAAACAAATTTACATGAAAATTTCAAGTTGGCGTTACGAACGGGTGGACCAGAACAAAAGGAACATGGTCGGTTCGTGTTGGGATTGGTTGGGCGGTGAACGTGACCTGTGCTGATCGACAAAGGCCAAACCACTTTTGTAGACTGCTCAGGTGGTACTTACGGGTCGACTAGAAGAGTCTAATGGTTTGGTGTTATCGATCACCTGCAATGGGCGATACATGCAATCTGCTAACCCATGTTTTTTGCTTTTCGACTCCCGCAAGCGGGTAGACTCGAATCGCGTGAAAAGAGCCGCATTTGGGATTTTCGGAGGCGCTTGATTGCTCTTGACTTTGGCCTACATACAAAGCATGCTTACAGTGCACAGAATTCAACAGCAACGACTCGCACACCTGTTCGTCGTCAAGGAGACTCTCGTCCAAACTGGAGTCGAGATCACCCAGGGAACGGTTCTTGGTGGTGGGGGTGATGGAGGCAGCGGCGTCTTCGTCTCCCCCTGTTGCGCCGGGTTCTTCTTCCTCCTGCTGCTTGGAGCTGATTGGCGCTGTTAACGATAGGGGAGCGAACACAAGAAGGCCCGTAAGAAACGTGGTGCACGCAAACAAACGTAGTTCTTGTCGGAGAACAATATACGGAGCTGGCCGGAGTCGAGACCCTCCCTAGTACTGCATAGAGCGGTGTTCAGATTCGACGGTGTGTTTATTAGAACTGCAAGTGTACCTACTGAGCACGGATGAGTCGCAGCCGTATGAGTCGAAACTTTTTTATAGACAACTGATCCTATCTTTGTTTCCTCTACATACACACAAGAATGACAGCATGGTGGTTCTCTCACTGGGCTCGGTTGTGTTTGCCCACCTTTGATTTCCTTTTCGGCAGCAACGGTCTCGTTGATCATCTCCTTTTCGGCAGCAACGGTCTCGTCCTTGCGCTGGACAGTTGTCTCAGACGGCTGTGACCGCTACAGCAGCGGCAACGATAGCAGCAACGGCGACAGCCACAGCAGGATGATGACCGAGTTGACAGAAGCAACAGCAGAATACAGAAGGACAAAACGGGTTGGGGACAAGAATGAGTAACTGTTTGTTTGAGACGCACGGATCTTCAGGGCCATGGCAACCATATAGTCTACACATGCCGCTATGAGTGCACGCTGCGGTATCTGGCACCACCACCGGTCAGCAGCCCCGGTAGAAGCATTGGCCTTTCGTTGTGGGATGGGAGGGGGCAGTGAGTAGCAAAAGCAGCAGCAGCGGCGGCAGCAACTTGACGCGTTTCCATCTTAGGCACGGAGATTATTGGCATCGGTTCAAAAACTCACAACAGCAGACAGACCTGTGGCATTAGATGCGGCTAGGTATATATATCGTCGTTACTACTGCTGCACACCCATACGGGAGGTAGCAACACTCATCTTGTGTCTTCCCAACATGTACGACAAACCGCGAATGATTCCCGAGATCAACACCAAGCAAGACAACGGCAGACGGGGGCAGCCAGGGCTGCAGACGGCTGGCTCCCCCCGCGACAACTTGACGACATACATTCCATGCGCGGGGGACGAGCTGTTTTCTCTCTCTCTCTACTCCACACACACCTTTGTCTGAGCAGAACTGCTTCCACGAAGACTTGGTGATGATGAACCGAAGGCCAAGGTGTTCGCTGGCCCGGTGCTCCCGAGGATCACGCCCCCGATGAAGCAAGAACTCCACACAGCAGACCAGAAGATATCGGCGCGCATGGTTTTGGGTTCGGTGTGATGAGCTTGACACACGCGGGAGACTTCTTCTTTTCCCGAAAAGCGCGCGAAAGTTTAGCAGCGGGTGGCTGTAGGAGATTGTCGACGGTGATGAGTGGTACTGACAGAGTGGTGGGTGCAGGAGGTTGTGTGGTTGCTCTCAACCCTTGCGTGTTAATAATGTGTGTCCGCCGCATGACACAACAAAAGGCGGGGGGACCCTGCGAGAACGGAACGGGTCCACGTTCTCCTTCTTTATTGGGGTCCGCTTTTTCCTTCTTTTTTTTTTCCTCGAACGCGTAGGATCTCCTCACCCTCCATCGACACGCCTCCAGATCATGTTGCAACGGCCAAGGCGGAAGGCGGACTCCCACCCCTGGAGCAGGTCAAGCAAGACAGCAAGACAGAAGAGCATGAGCTCTCTGGGCGGTGCTCTCGCCTCCACGATGAGGCCCTGGCGCTCGCTCTACGCCTGCGCCTGCTGCTACCTGCTCCCTCTCTCCTCCGCCATGCGCCTAGCCACTAGCACCGCCCGGTCCGCTGGGTTCGCGACAAGGGCAGCGGCGGCGGCGGCGCGATACAGCAGTAGCAGTCGGAGACCAAGCGGCCTCTCCGCCGCCACGCCGCCGTCGTGGGCAGCAGGCAGGGATTCGTCGAGATTATCCGCGGGTGTCTTGCAGCAACAGCAGCAGCTGCAGCAACCGCAGCGTCACCCTTGTGGGAAGCTATTCGCCGGCGGTGGTGCTGGTTGCGTCGGCGGTGCAACAACGTACGGCGGTGCCCGGTGCCCGTTGGTGGGCAGCAGCGGAGGCGGCAGTAGTAGGACCTTTTCGGGGGGCAAGCGGCCCAAGCTCAGAGGGAGAGCAAGGTGGGAACGGGGGAGGGCAGGGGCGCTGGGGATGGGCAAAGGGCTGGGTCGCAAGAAGGCAAAGAAAGAGCAGGTGCGTCGTTGAGTACCCTGCTTAGCCTCGATGAGTCGGCTGTAACTGCTGTAGACCTGTTACACAAGAGTCTCACACGAGCGGTGAGACTGCCAGTTCGAACCGCTGCAAGGCTGTGCCGGTACCGGTTGCGTGCACGAACATCCTTTTGTCGGGGATGTCGTGCATGTTGGTGAACACGCGGCGACTACGGCAGTGTTGCGGTGGTCATAAGCAGTACTTTGTCCGGCGCTATGTATACACGTCGCACCAGCAGCGGCGGCAACAGCAATAGCAGCAGCGGCAGCAACAGCAACAGCAGCAGCAGTAGCAACTGGTTGAGGGTCGTCCCTTCATTAGCTGTGGGATGCTGACTTGGAAAACGCCAGCTAAGACTGCGGTGGGCTGTCTGTCTGTCTTGCGCGTGCAGAAGGAACCCCAGCGACCGACCGACCCTTTGTTCCGTTGCAGCTGTGGCGAAGACAAACCGCTCGCTCTTGAGTGTTGAAGAGGAAAAGGGGTTGTTGAAACTGCTTTGTGTAAAAGGCACGAACCGCGGAGGGTGTCCTGTTTGTCCTGTGCGATCAGGAGCGTTTCTGTTGGGGTAGGTAGAACCCGGTCTTAGCGAGACACAACGAGATTCGTCATACACTCTGATGGATTGTGGAGAGGGCAGAATTGACCTTGCAAGCCAGGACAGCACCATTTCTCCCGAGCTTCTGACAACTGACTACTGTACAGCTCGAAGATTGGTTCCAAGATTTTCGTATTTCCACAAGATCCGATGACGTTTATGGTACTCTGCCTCCAGCAACATATCAGGATAGTGTCGCCCACCCACCCGTGCACGATGCGACCTCAGGAGGAGCAAGACCATCAAGGTTCTGTACACTGTCATGCATCCCCAAGTACCTCGGCACTAGCTATCAAGTTTTTGGACAGTAAAAAAAATTACACACAGAGACACTACTGTACCCGTTCGAGATTACCCCAGCCGAAAGGGATGTGCTGAAGTCTTTTCAGCGAAGTGGAGGGAAACCGGCTGTTTTCATACCCGTTCTAGCCCTTCCCATGCCCTGACCCCCCCACGGCCAGGCGGCGGCAAACAAGGCGGCGGGCAAGGGGACGCCTGCGCCCAAGGCGGCGGCTCAGCAGAGCGTAGGAGCGGCGGCCGCGGGCCAAGTGGCAGTGCAGGAAATCTCGGACAAGGAGGGATTCCTGGGCGCGTTCGAGACACTGCGCAAGGCCAAAGCTCCCAAGAAGATTTTCCAGGTGTGCATGCGGGTTCTCTTACTGGTGCATGTTTGTATGTATGTATTTGTGTGTGCTATTTTGTGGAGTTTTCTGGAAGCATCTGGTACCACGCTACTCGGCCGGCTGGCCAGCAAAAATTTCGCCGGTCGTTTGCGGGCAACGAAGCGCGCAAGATTCCCCGCTGAGCAGTAGCGGAGCCAGCAGGGTCTGAGGTGAATGTTCCGGCGGCCTCAGGTTGCGGATGAGAGATGCATTTTTTTCATAGTTGCACGGCGGTGTGGGAATGCCGGATTGAAGAGAGTTGTAGCTGCCTTGGCGATACCTTTCTTCTCTTAAAATTAGAGAGCACCCCGCCACCGCTGGTGTTTCGGGGTGATGTTTCTACGCTGCTGTGGCCGTCGAATTAGTGCATCCGGTCCTTACGCCCGTCCGCCCCCTAGCCAGTAGAGACAGTAGCTATATTCGGGGCATAGGATCTGGGATGAAAAGCCGGGAAGTGATATCGATAGGAACGATAGGATAGGGATGGCGTTTTGTAGCCACCTTTGGGAAAGTAAACAGGAGCGATTGGCCATCGGTGATCGGTCCTGTGAGAACTATGCTCCGCTCGAGGACGTGTGGTCAATGGTCTCACCGCTAAAAGGCATGCAAAATGTAAGAGTTCGCCCCCCCCCCCCCCCCCCTTCCCTACCCCCCGCTTCCACTGTTTACCGGCGAGACCGCAGGCGTTTTCGACCGCGAAGAGGAACGGGATAGAAGGCCTGCCCGACCTAGCAGCGGCGGCGGTAAAGGAAGAGCTCAAGCTCAGCCGGGTGGACCTCGCCAGGAGCGTGATCGAAACTCTCGGGTGAGCATCTGGCACTAGTGTGTGGTTCGCAGCATCGTATGCTACCACACAGCAGTATCGGTGGTAGTGGTGGGTTCTCGCTGTTGTTTTTCGCCGCCTGTCTCGGAGAATGAATGCTCTCGCGTGCGCCTTCCTTTTTCCGGAGAACCTAAGGTTTTGGGGGGCGCTTGCAGCTTGCGGGTGGCTTGAAAACGATGGGATTGCAGGTGAATACCCTAAGGACCGATCGGCAGCCTGACCAGCGTGTGCTCCACCCACGAAAGATGGTCACTCTTCTCCTGCACGCAGTATTAGCCTGCCTTAGATGCTCGTGTACATGCACATCCATTCCTCCTTCTGGAATAACGAATACACGCCAATCGCCAGTCACTTGAGACCCCCCGCCCCCCCTCTGTACAACGCCCCCGAAGGTTGGGACGCCTCCCCCTCCATACACTCGCTCACCCAGGTGCCCCCTCTCCGCTCTGCCTCCCTTGTTTCGTAGGGCAGAGCAATGGGACGCTTGGCTTGCTAGGCACCTGGACGGGGCGCAGGCTGTGGTCCGGTGCGCGTGCGCTGCCAGCGAGGCGGCTTTTGCCGAGGAGCTTATCGCCAAGGCCGGGTTTTCGTGCGGCGGCGGCGACGAGCTCGCGGAGGTGAGCGAGAGCTTTCCGGCTGCTTGCTTCTGCGCTCACGAAGTTTTTTTTTTTTTACAGAGAGCGCGGACGGGCGTGCTGGGAAAGCTCGTTGGCGCAGCGTGTTTTCTCGAATGAACACACGCAAGAACCACCCCCACGAAGCAACCACAAGCATAGGGATTTATTCTCCGGAGCACCCCTGTGTATTGTTTGACCCGACGGGAGCAGGAGTTTGTCTCTGCGGCGACCTCGGTGTACCCCAACCTCATCACGGCTTTCTCGAGGAACGGCAAGCGTGGCGACGCGATGCGGCTTTTGGAGGCCATGGCCAACGCAAGGGTAAGGGGGCCGGCACCAGCGTACGGGCTCTAGCCGCGTTTGTCGTTGCCCTTGTTGCTGTTTTTGTTGTCGTCGTCGTCGTCGCTGTTGCTGTTGCTGTTGCTGTTATTGTTATTGTTATTGTTGTTGTTGTTGCTGCTGCTGTTGTTGTTGTTGTGTCCTTGTCGTTGTAGTTGTTGTTGTTGTTGTTATCGTGCTGAAAGGAGCTAGACATGCCATTGAAGAGGCATGCGACGGTGGAGAAGTGCAAGGAAGAAGAATAAACTGGTGCCAATACCTATCGGACAGACAATGTTCCATTTGCGCGGCCGCTCGTCTGACGCGAAGACGACCAAATATGTCGCTTGTGTCTGGCATGTCTTTCTTTGTATCGTGTGGCCTGGGTACCCGGGTATCATGTTGCACGCACGTGTGCCCCATTTTGGGGCGCTCGAAATTGGCGTCGCCGTTTCCGTTGCTTTCGGTCGTGCCTTCCGAAAAAAGCAATGAAAAACCGCCACGAGACCACTCGCAGCAGTTGTTCTCCTCCCGCTATTTCGTCGATCGTCAAACACGGACAAAGTTTTCGTGTTTTTTTCGTAGATCGTAGTGTGCCTCGGGCTGCGTCATCATGTCGGTGTTTTACGTGTCTCTTGCCTGCCGACGTGTCCCCTTTGTTTTTCCCGTGTGCTGGCCTCCTCTCCTTTTGGGGTTCTTTTTTGGTGGTGGTGGTGGTGGTGGTGGTGGTGCAGTTGCCGGTGAAGACTCCCGCGGCGAACCGCCTGCTTCAAGGTTTCCACAAGAGGCGAGACTTGGAGGCAGTCTTCAAGGTGAGAACAATAAGTAGTCTTCAAGGTGAGAACAACTAATGGGACATGCACGGGTATGTATACATGTGTTCGTACACTTCACGCCCAGGTAGTGTATTTGTGTTTTGCACACAACATTCTACGTACTGTACGTGTGATACTCACTACTTTCGGCCCATCATGCATTGGTGGCGTTTTGCTAACTGCTTTTTGGCCACTGAGAGGACATTTTCAACCTCAACAGGAGCAGTACAACGACAAGGCATTCTCGGGCGAATGCACCACCAAACACTACCACAACCTCACAGCAACCAACAGTCCACGAACACAACGCAATGTTGAACCAAGTCAGAGCTTTCCACGTTGTTCGTCGATGACCTATCTCGTGAGAGAAACATTTGAAGAAGAAGAACAACACCAACAAGAGCAAGAGCAAGGCAGCGACGACAACCACGATAACAAAGAAAACACCATCAACAACAACAATGATTACGACAACAACAACAACAACAATATCATTACAGCAAGGCAGCGACGACAACAACGATAACAAAGAAAACACCATCAACAACAACAATGATTACGACAACAACAACAACAACAACAACAACAACAACAACAACAACAACAACAACAACAACAGCAATATCATTACCACTTGGTTTGATTTTTGGTTACGCCGCCGGCAGGTGCTGGACGTGATGGCGGCGGCGGGGGTCGATGGCGACGATGAGACCTACGAGTGGCTCGCCAACGCGGCTGTGAGGGGAGTGGACTTCGTAAAGGTGGGCGCTTTTGTTGTGTGCTCCGGTGCCTGCCGGGCTGTAGGGTTAGCACCGAGAGAGGGCTTCTGTGTTGTTGTTGTTGTTGTGGTTGTGGTTTCCTACTTGTAGATGGGCGGGCAAGACAGTCTTTCGGGGCCATGGGCACGTCAACCGGGTGCCCCCTGTTTTCCATCACTAAGAACAAGAGAACAATACCTGTTGTTGTTTTTGCTGCTGTTGCCGTGATTGCCTCTGCTTCGGATATTGTTGCTGCTGTCGCTGGCAGTGGTGTTGGTGCTGGTGTTGCTGCTGTTTCTACGGCGTTTCTACTGCTGCTGCTGTTGTGTTGTTGTTGCACCAATTGGGCCATGCCCATGCCGATCCTCGCCAAGCTGGAACATGCTTGGCAAATAACGCGTGCCCTAATGTGGTTCTTTTTGTGCTGCGCTGTGTTGGGTCTTTCATTTTTGTGGTTGCTAACTAAGTGTTGAGGCCGACATATGTAGTTGACTATTTGTATTCTATCTGTCTGTCTGTCTGTCTGTCTGTCTGTCCGTCTGTCTGTCTGTCTGTCTGTCTGTCTGTCTATCCGTCCGTCTGGCTGGCTGGCTGGCTGGCTGACTGACGTCCCCTCTTGTGCCGGCCAGGGCGCGGTTAGCATGGCGACGCTTCCGAAGGAGCCGGTGCTGCCGGAAGCAGCGTTCATCGGGCGGAGCAACGTCGGCAAGAGCAGCCTCATCAACATGGTCTGCAACCGCAAGGTATCGATTGGTCGCCCTTCCGAACAGTCTTGCTTGGTACGTGTGTGTCTTGTGTGTTCCATGTATTGGCATACCATCCGCTCTTTGTCCACGGTTGCTCGATAAGCTTGTATGTTTGTGTTTCATGTTTGCCCTATCATCCGCCTGTATCTACGCGGAGGGCTTTGAGGACATGTCAACATTGTCGGTACGACAGCCAAACAGCGTCGTCTGGCCCGTGTTTGGGAGTGTGGGCAGGCGGGGGGGCTAGAGAGGGACGAAGCGGGGCAACCTTAAAGCAGCAAGTGGTAATCAAATCAAAAACTGGCAGTGAGGGCGAACGCGGGGTTAATCGATGCTGGTCTTGAGAGTAAAGCGAGACGAGAAATACCTTGTACTCTGAAGGGGCATCGCAACCAGACCGCTGGCAACAAGCTCATGATAACTTCCCCTTTCTTTGTTGCCCTTTTTCAACCTTTGGTTTTGGTTTGAACCCTAACCGCAAGCAGGCGTTAGCGTTTACGTCGAAGCGACCGGGGAAGACCCAGCAGTTCAACTACTTCCTGATGAACAACAACACCGAAAACGCCTTCTATCTCGTCGACTTGCCGGGCATGGGGTATGCGAAGGTGAGAATAACAAACTACATTTCCGCGCAACAGACAAAAGCAGATGAAAGCGAAGCAAAAACGGGACAAAGTATGTTCCTGAAGAGGAACGGCGGGCCGCGGCGGGAGGGATAGTTTTTAGACACACGCACGGCCGTTGGCCGTTCCTTTTGAAGTGGTAATTTTTTGTGGTTACGATGTGCATGCTCCCTTTACCCTGAAGCATCGATCGACACGCGGCCATGCACAATGCTGCCGTGCACATGCCGCGCGCCGGGATCTGAACAGGTGCCCGAGAAACAGCGGAAGGAGTGGTCGACCCTGTTTCGGAGCTACATCACGCGGAGGTCATCGCTTCGCGTGCTGTTCCATCTCATCGACGGTCGACATGGTCCCGTGGGTCAGGACCACGCCATCATGAAGCTCATGGCCGAGCTTCCCGACACGGCGAGGTTCGTTCTTGTCGTCCTCGGATCGTGTTGTTGTTTTGCCGGCTTTGTTGACGTTGTGGCTGGTTCTATTTGCTTATTTGGCGGGAGTTCTTCTCGCCGTCGTCTTGATTTTTACTTGTTTGACTCTGTTGTTATAAATTTTGCTGTTTTCACGTTAGTAGGGATGCTTGGTCAACGTCGAACCGAACACGTAGCGAAAGCAACTGACCACCCCCGCCGCGGCCGTCGCCGCCGAACGCCTAATCACGTGTCGTGCAGGTACGTCGTGGTGCTGACGAAGGCGGATAAGTCGGACAACTCTGTGTCGAGGCAGGTGCTGGAGGGGGTCGTGGCCGCGCTCCGAGAGGCAGGGGTCTCCCGCACCCCTGTCGTGCTCACCAGCGCTGCTTCGAAGCTAGGGAGGGACGGGATGTGGAGGTGTGTCGAAACGAGGCCCTCCGGCTTTCGATGACATATTTGCACGGTTGGACGCCCTGCGCGTCCGCCAGCACCAGTTCGGAGCCTGTAGCAGCTGAAATCCAACCATCGGGCTAGAAAGCGCTGACTAGTCAAATTGTTTTGAGCTCGTCTTCTGTAGAAGTTTGTCGTCACCCGTACTGAGGCGGCATCGAATCGGGGCGTGCTAGCATGACATGGACACGATTGCGGAAGCGGTGTTTCTTTCTGCCCGCGTCGCCGTGGAGATGCCTGTACCGCCGCATGCCACGCGAGTGGCGTCCATCCCTTGCGACTCGAGCAGCTTGGCTTGGTTTCCCAGTCCTTTGGTTGGCTTTGGACGCTGGGGAACCTATGCTCTATCCTACCACGGACAAGGTGTCTTTTGAGTTTCGGTCTGATGGTTTTTGGTACGCCGTGATAACCAACGAGAGTGTTGCGCGAATCGCGATTCGCCAGCCATGCGTTCCCCCGCCGCCGCCATTACTCCGCACTTACTTCCACTGGCCGTCGTTTGCCTCCAATTTTTGAGCCGAACCGAAACGTCACCGAAACAGAAACCGAAAGCTCAATACCCGATGACTCCTCTGTCCCCCCTAGCACTCCAACGCAATGGAGCACGAGCGAGGCGATCGCGTAGAGAACGAGCGATTCGTTGGTGATGGTGGCTCTGTAAGTATCAATGCCCAGCCTCAAGTGGGGTGCCCGGTCCGCCGCCTCATGACTGATGCCGACAACAAACGAGCCCGCCCCCCCCACGACCACCCTTGCTCACGTTCGCCAGCTTTCGTGTAGACGCTGTGTCGCGGCAAAACTGTTACCAAGAGTGGAATTTTTCCGGTCTGTGTCGCGAGTTTGCGTGCAGTATGCTTCGAATTATGGATTTGTTTTTGACAACTTTGCGCGTAACAACGAAAGGCCCTGGTACATGCCGCCTGGCCGCAGGTACCTCCGACTAGCGGCGCTCGACAAGGCCATGCGAGAAAAAGAAGTGGCGAACAAAGAAGGAAAGCCGGGCGAAGACGCGGAGTCAGGGTCGGAGGGTAACGACTGGACCCGGGTGGTTCGGAGAGGGGAGGGACAGGAGGACGCTGGTTTAAATAGTAAGCCTGTGTCGGTGGTTGCCGGCGTTTCCAAAGTGGGGGGCGCGGCAAAGTAGAGATGAGGATACTTTGGCTGTTGAACCCTTGCATCGCTCAATGGGTAAGAGGGGGCTCCGCACACTGATGGGGATAGGGGGAGTAGACGAAGGTTAAGGTTGCGTGTGGCTTCCGCACGCCAGGTATTCGCTTGCGGAAGGGGAGAGAGGGACTGGAGTTGACGGGCATCCCAGGAAACGCGCTCTGTCGACAACGGGACCGGAATCGAGCGGCGCGGCCGTAAACATGACACGCACCCTTCAAGTTGAGAAGGAGCGTGTGCGTTAACTTTTGGACCCCCCCCCCCCCCCCGAAACTAGGAACACTTGAGCGTGATGTTCACTCTGACGACCAATTCCCCAAGAGTCCCCCATGCGTTCATTCTCCTGCCCCAAGTCTAAATCAGGCCCCAACAAACTTCTCCCCCTTTTTTTTTTCCGTAAACAACGTACACCCAAGCAAACTTTTTTAACGCGCAACTGGACGGGGAATATTGGGGGGCCAGATCACCTGATCGGCACCCTTTTGAACCGCCCTTTACCCCCCCCCCCCCCGACCCCCCCCCCCTAGCAAAGGGCAGCGTCATAAATTGGAAGTGTTTTCACAGAGGTTCCTGCGTGTGCGTGCGCAAAAAAGAAAGCGCAGCTGCTTCCCACAGCCGAGCTGCTCACTTCCTCACGTGCATGGGCTTATCGCCGCAAGTGGTATAAATACAGCTAGAAGTTCTGCTACAAAGGCCACAGGGACCGCTCTGGTGACTCTCTGCGGCTTCTCCGAGATGGACGCAATGGAAAAGCACTCGCAGTGTTCGCTTCTCCATCGCCCGCGATTGGGCTCCACCGAGAAGAGTAAGAAAAACGTTCGTTCCGAGAAGCTCGCACCACGGAATTTACCACGACATATTCTTCTTCAGAGCAGACCCCCTTCACGCAACACCGTCACCCCAAGACGAAATGGGTCCGTTTGTCGGTTTGGCTGAGTCAAGAAGGAGAGGTCACACGGGGCCGTGACGTCAAATCTCTGTTCGAACGCTAAAAATTGCCTCCCGAAAAGGTACATGTAGTCTCACGCCGGCAATGTTAAAAGTTCCCCCACTCTCCACCGCACGATGCAAATGTACCCCTCTCTCCACCGGCGTTAGGCACACAACAGTACACAGCACTGGCGCACAGCAATGCAGCAGTGGGGCCGAGAGGAAACACAGTATCGTACCGGTCAGGCCTCTACCCCCAATACGGGTGCAGCACCGCGGCACCCTTTTGGCGCGCCATTTCGGCTTGTCATGGACTACAAGTCACGGACCACAGTATCTTCCAAGATGCACCCATGAACCGGCGTGGAAGCTCTGCAGTTGTCCCTGAACGGTTTGTAACACCTATGGGAATAGTCGTGGCGGGAGACCTTACCAAGGCTCAGAATCTGTTCTACGACAAACACCCGAAGCGATGCGAGATCGTCATCAGCGCCTCACAAGCCTCCGTGCCGTATTCTCGTCCTCATTGTGCCGTCGATCTGCGAAGAGTGTGGCGGATTGATGTCGGGATTGACGGGGGTGTTTGGGGGCTGAGTAAGAAAAGGAAGAGGTGGCACACGTACCAGGAGCATGCCTCAGAGCTTAACCTCCTATTACTATTAATAGGACAAATGACAAAATGGGACAAAAGAAGCGAGCGTAAACAGCAGAGAGGTCTTGCAGCACGGAACGTTTAGTCGAAGACCGAAAAAGTCTGATCAAAACGCTGACAACGCAGAATTACAGAAAACGTGGCGTAAACGGACAATGTTTTGATTGATGCTGCAGTCCCCGATTAAGGCTGCGCTTGTTAATGCCATCCCTTCAGTAGTTCTCTGAGTCTTTCGGAGTTCTAAACCACCGCGGTGTACAATCGACGTGGAAGCTTGGGTTCCGGATCCCCCCCTGCCCAGCCGTACCCCGTACACCCACCTCCCCCTTTTCGTTCCCACTGTTCCCCCCAGGGTCGGTATACGAGAGGCGTGCGGCGCACATCTCCCACTGACTTGTCCATAATGAGTGTACCCGTGCGATGACCTCCTACTGCAGTTTGTGTGTCAGGGAACTTGGGACGGCGAGGCCCCTTTAGGGCAAAACACCGTGCGTTGGGATAAAATTGAAATGTTCCAGTCTCACTCCCTCGTCCCATCTTTTTTTCTGCTATTCTGAAAAGCCCTTATCGATTGTTGGAAATCGAGGCAACAGCAGTTGAGGTGTTAGTTGACCAGGCTCAAAGAGTTGGAACAGTCCTTCCACATTCTTGAACTTGCGCGTTGTAACGAGTGAGGCATCGAGCCAAAATGTCTCAACGGTATTCGTGAGTGCGTTGCGAAGTTAAGCGTGTTGTGCTGAGTTCCTTCTTTTTCTTGCAAAGGCAGGCGTACTGCTGTGTGTAGCAGACATGTTCCCACAGCAGTTCTTCTGTCTTGTCCGTTGTCACGTTGTCACCGAGGGCAGCACAAGGAGCGGAGGCCTGGGCTGGCGGCATTGGTTGAAGACAGGCAGGCCTAAGGATGCCCGGCATGCTTTCGTTTTCCAACTCGTTTTGCTGCGAAAACAAGGAGCACCACCGTTACGCCCCACGACTAGAAAATGAAACTCGCACATCAAGTCGCAGCTACGTTTTATCTGCTTTGGACGGCCAGGGAGAGAAAAGAGCTGGAGACAGGGAGGCACTACAGAATAGAGCCGGCGCTGCTGTGTTGGGGGGGTAGACTCATGCAGGGGTACACGTTCTCACCTCTACATCGTCGTCGTCGGCAGTAGCTTTCAGCCATAATCTGTACGCTCCCACAGAGAGCAACCCAGCCGCCAGCACGCCGGCAATCACAATTAGGCTCATCGTCGCTTTGGTTGTTGCCTCCAGCAGCGGCTGCCTTTCTCTGGTGTGGCGGAACAACCCAAAAGCGCAGCTTATTGCTAGCTTTTCCTGTCGCTCACGGAGGAAGTCAACGTCACCCAAAATACAGGAATGCCCCTACTACCCAGGAAGTTTGCCTGTCGTGTGCTCTAGGTTCGTCTACACTGCGGTCGTCGTTGGCTTGCGTGATACGTGATGCACCGGTCCATGCATGTCGTGAAGAAAATGCGGCGGAATTACTCCCCACCCCCCCCCCCCAAATATTCATCCGGGGTACCCAAATCTTCGTAGATTCTCACTCGCGTTCCCCCTAGGCTATCCTCTGGCTCTGCTGGGCCCTCGTTCAGACGTTCATCTTGTTTCAGGCCAAGCCTTAATCGATTCAAGGTGAGTTCTCCCTGCACGCCGGTGCGTTGTTTGCATGGACCCATTGGGTTGCGTGTGTTCGTGAGATCGGGAACTGGAGGATTCAATGCGAGAGAGGGAGTGGACACCTCAGCCGGCCTTTCCCACACACGCACCATTCAAGAGCCTGATGGATGTTGTGGTACACCGCGAGGACTAGAGACAGTTGGGCCTCATCCCACACCCTTGCAGCCGAAGCGTGCGTGCAGCAGCTGAGGTTGCACATTCTACCTGCATGCGTCGTGTGGTGTTGCGTCGGTAGACCAGTTTTGTACGACCCTTCTTTCTCAACAACAGCCCCCTTCTCCACCCATTTGCCACCTCTGCTGCTGCTGTCCCTCCTTGCCGTCGTGGCCGTCGGTGCGTGGATGGTGTGCACCCACCACCACAGATGCGTCACCTGGCTACCTACATGCTCCTTGTCCTCGGCGGGAACGCCTCTCCCACCAAGGAAGACGTGACCACCGCGCTCGCCGCGGTCGGCATCGAGGTGAGTTGCTTGCTTTCGTGACACATACCCCGCCTCAGATAAAAAATCCAAATGCTCCCAGCGCGCCATTGCCTGCCGGTCGTGATCCTTGTCTTTGCTGCCGGTGTCCGGCAAGGGTTTCCGGGCGGACCTGCCGTGCATCCGTACATGTTTGTTCTGGCGGTGGAATGAAAAGCTGGCTTCTCTCGATCGTGTGATTACAGGCTGCTGAGCGTCTTGCAGCCCTGTCGATCTCTTGAAACTTTCAGCACTCTGTCTGCCAATGTGTACAGCAGTCAGTACGACCAGTTTGGGGGCATCAGCATCAACTACCAAGTACCGCAAGGTTGCGAGTCAGCGCACAGGGGTTCGATCGATTTTCAAAGCGTAATCTCTCCACAATCAGGAGGGTGCGAGCACCATTTGATTATTCTCAGGAAAGCTCTCGATGAGATATTTTCAAAACCGGCCTCTTCGCCAGTGGTAACCTCCTGGTTGTGGAGGAATTACCCTTGAAATCGCTCGCACCCCTGTGCGGTGACTCACAACGGTACTAAAAAACCACAGCAGCAGCCACCCCATCAGTGCTGAAGATGCCACACAAAGCTGCTTACCTCCAGGCACTGTAGTCGTGCTGCCGCTTTTGCGTCCATGCCATTTTGGTAGGAATAGCACCAGCGGTTCGAGCCATTTCTATTCGTTGGCATGCGTTGTTGGCGAGAGGAGAAAGGCACAAAAATCGATGAACTTATCTGGCCACTCCTACCCAAACACCTTCACTGCTGTCCGTTTGCCGTGTATTGCACCCGAAAATCATCGTGGTGACGCATCCGTTGCTCACAACGATATCCCTGTTTTGAAACTTGAGGCTGCGATAGCGTCGCCGCCCGCGGCGACGCGTTGATCACAACTCTGAAACGGCAGGAAAATAAAAGAAAGTCTCGTGGACGCCTCCCTCGCCTCTAGCAGGGGCGAGAGGCAGGTACGCGTGATCTGTAGCCATTGCTTACCGTGCAGACTTGCCTCTTTTGATCCCCAAGGCTGGCGCTGCCCCGAGGCGATGGTACATGCCTTTGTATTGCATACCATGGTATTGTTTTGCGTTCCATTGCCAACCATGATAACATGGGTGTAACTTTCTGTTTTTATGTGTTTCTCTCTTGTCGCGGATCCCCACGTGCACAGAAAGCTTGTTTCTTTTTGGCGACGCCGCTCACCATTACCAGGATAACGAGAATTACCCCCCTCCTTTACAGACAGCTGCCGATGTTGAATTTGGCTGGTGACGTTCCGTGCCTCTCTTCAGACCTGCACATACCGTAGTGCCTTCCTTCCCCTTGTTCGGGAAGTGCACACTCCATGCTGTATAACGGCACGACTTGACTTGTTGACCGCTTCGAGCATATAGCACGCGTCAAGTTCTCCTTGCTCACCTTCAATGGTCGCCTTCGTTTTTTCGTTCCTCGCTCTTTCCTTGATTTATCTGTTCTTGTGTGTGTCAACACGACGACGACAAAGTGCGACGAGGCTCGCCTCGACCAGCTCATCGCTGACATGGCTGGCAAGGTAAGCAACACACGGCCATGTTTCCTAGGCGTTTTGTGTGGCCCCCCCCAAGAGATGGCAAGGAGTTTTTAACGTAGCCGCACAAGGATTACGTCCGCATCCGCGAAAGCTTGCTGTTGTGTGCCCTGGATGATTCCATGTGTCACTGAACGCCATGCGCGTTTTTTTTTTATTCTTCGTAGAGGTGCTGATCTTTGCCTGTCTGGTGCTGATCTTAATGTTGGTCCCGAGTTTCTTTTTTTCGAGAGTTGTATGCACCCCAACCCCGAGGGTGAACACTCAATGAGTAGATCCATGGAGAGGTACAGTTTTGTGTAAGTCCAGGACGCAAATGCCATAGTCGCGCTTACCCACTGGCGCTGAAGGACAGGCTGAAGGCTTTTGTTTGCAAATTGTCGTGGGACAGGTTCCGTTATTGCGTGCCTCCCGTGATTCTCTAGCGTCTGTCCGGTTCTTTTCGTCTATCGGCGCCGCAGCATGCATATATCTACCGCACCCCTGGTGCTTGCGAAACACCGCTGGGTGTGTCCCCTAATCCAGCAAGGTGTGACACAACCAAACATCCCCCCTTTGACTTTTTCTCTGTAACACTGCTGTACGCACGCAGGACATCGCCGCCCTTATCGAGGCCGGTAAGGGCAAGCTCGCGTCGTTCGGCGGCGGAGGCGGTGGCGGTGGTGGCGGCGGCGGCGGCGGCGACGCTGCCCCGGCGGCCGAGGAGAAGAAGGTGGAGGAGGAGGAAGAGGAGGAGATCGACATGGGAGGCGGCATGGACATGTTCGGCGGCGGCGACGAGGGTAAGGGTCGAGGACGCAGTGCTCGTTTGGTTTCTTTCACTCCTGATGTGTGCGGTGGACCCTCGTATCCTACAAGGCGGATTGATTAACGGGAACACATGTGCAGTTTCTGCAGGGTACGACGGGTGGTTTTGTGTTCGGCGTGAAAATTTCTTGCGTGCTTGCGTGTGATGGACTGTATTCGGCCAAGCTCGTGATTGTAGGATAGAGATGTTCCGACTTACGTTCTGATCGACTTGGTGCCACGGTCCATTCGGTACCAACCCTACGGCTGGTTTTCGCGGCACAACCTTGCCGCACTCTGAACATAGATTCGACGTAACCGAAAGACGACTTTGCTTCATTTGACTTTACCACACCACTCACGCAGCAAACATGACAGTACAGTATCCCCTTTTCCCAACCCAACCCGCCCCCACTGTTTTTTTTTCTGTAGGACGATACGCCCTCCGTCCTCCGGTAACGTGGTGTTTTGACCTCTCACTAGCGGGCCCTGACTGTATGTAGTCCCCATCGTAGCCCTTTTAGGCCGTAATGCACGGCGTTTATGTTCCCAATTATGACTTTTTTTCTCAGGCCACACACGTCGTTCATTGGCAGGCTCAATTCTATCACATTCTTTTCGGCGAGGGCTTTGTGTGATTTGGATGGGTCAGCAGCATGCAGTAGTCGCTGCTGCAATTTCGATATTTCGCGCTCTCGTTTCGGTCAAAGCCGCAGTCGCTGTTGTATGGTACATGCGTAGTTCAGGGACTGCTGACATGTTCGTTTGGTTCTTGTTTCTTTGCGTAGCCCGACCAGTTATTTGGCGTCACTGTTCTCTGTTGGGTCGTAGGCAGACATCTTCTGCTGTTCCCCCCCCTGCCTCAGCCCCAAAGCTTCCCGCTGCACGTACTCCGGCCATATCGAAACGTCAGTGTTGCGAAGAATAACGTGTCTTTGCGCGACTGATGGTCTCCACCCCACCCCCCCCCCGCTCGACTTGGACCTCTCTTGGCTTTGCGCAGGCGGAGGAGACTACTAGGGCGGCGAGCGGAGGAGCCCCCGCGCGGATGATGAAGGGATGTGCTCGGGCGCGTCAGCCCACAGCCAAACTCCGATCGTTCCACCATTGCTGTCCCGCTGCTTGCTGCCCAAGCAAGTTTGAGGGGGCCACCCTAATCGCTCGTATGGCGGGTTCCAACCCTTTCTAGGATGTGCGATTGTGTTGGGTTTGCTTGCCTTTGTCGATCGTGTCCTTAGAGCGGTGTCCTTTTCCTTGGAGTGCTGGTTGAAGCATGATAAAAAAAGAAAAAAAATTGGACGGCGTCCGGCCGTATGTGCCTCTTTGCTCGCGTCGGAGCGCAACGCTCACAGGAGCGCCGCGAAGCAGGGTCAAGGTCATGGAACGTTCGCGGCGATGTTGACGTTTTGGCTGACCGTTGCAAAGCACACGAGCCGATGCATTACACGTGCACGTCCGCGGAGATCAAACCTGAGCTCCTACTCCTGCTCTGGCCACGGCATCTTCGGATACCCTGTTGCGACACGTGGTCACGAAGCAGCACATTTGCATCCGAACGTCGCGCGCTGTTACAGCTTGCACTTTTGCCGATGTTCATGGCACACACTTGGCACGGCAAGAGCATCGACATTTCTTCTTTCGACAAGCCCTTCGTGCTTCTTAGCATCGACCGCGCTAACCGGGTGACCAATGAAAATTCGCCGGTGTCAAGCGCGGCCGTAAAAAGACCATGGGCGCGTGTAAGTTACTATCGAAACATTCTGGGGGTCGGTTATGCCACGATGGCTTTGATCAGACGCGTGACGAGCAGGAAGAAAAAGGAGCAAATGGCTCCTGACGGCAGTTTTCTTTTAGTTTAGTTTCTGTGCTATCCTGCTTTTGCGGCGCTTGCCTGCAGCCTTGCGATATCGAATTCCTCATTTGGCTTTCAATGGGTCGTATCATTCGCCACACTTCTTAGGGATCGAACAGTTCCGTCATGAGCACACGCGCTACCCCTCTGCTTTTGTCCACCCCGATCGACGAATCCCCCAGCGACAAAATGTCTTCTTGATTACTCGTTCAAGTTTCTCACGCCGCAGACACCTTTGTTTTATCGTTCTGGGAAGCCTCTCGAGACCGCAACCGTCTCGTAGAGGAAATGCAAAGGACCGGAGTTCTAGAGGCAACATATTGTGTATGGACATGTAATCACCGAAGCATTATAATGGTTGCGTAGGACCGAAGAGCTAGATGCAACAGAGTGTGAAGGAACAGCGTACCTAAGCCCTGTTGTCAAACCGAAGAGTTGACAGGGAGCCGAATGTGACACACGCGCGTCTTGTGATGAACGAGACGAGGTCCGGAGATTTCGAGTGACTTCGTTGACGACTTCGCAAAACCACCCCAAGGGCAACGGAGCTGCCTTGAGGCATGTTCAACCACTCAAAGAGCCCAGAAGACTTCACGAATGGCGTCAAAGGGATGTAGTTTCACGGTGAACCGTGATTTGGTGAAATGAAGCTTTCGTGTCAAAAAAGATAAGTATCAACAACTTGTCCAAAGTACCATAACTCGAGGGATCGGAAGCTGGCTCAAAGTACAGTGATGCGAACACCACTAGATTTCTTCAGTATGACAACAAAATGGGGCTCGACGTACTCAACGCTTTTCCTTCTCCTCCACTCGGCGTCGAAACCAAGCTGGGAATCATCGTTCCGACGGTGGTACAGTAGTTCACCACTAGTTCCCCGACTCTTCTCTGCATAGCGAACTTGACAAATAAATACCATTTTGCGGCAGACAGATCGTGAGCAAACAAACGCAGTGGCACCACAGCTGTCATGCTGAGCTAAGGTAAGCCCAACAAAATCGCGGTCACCAGGACGTTTCGCACGCAAAAAGTGCACGGTAAGAAGAGCGGTCGCTAAACCGCACCGAACTATCTCCTCTGCGGAGGAGCACTTTATGGTGCATGGCACCGTCGAGAACGACGTATGTATGCCCAAGCAGCTAGAGAGGAAGTAGTCTAGGCAAAAGTTCTCACGGAGAAACTGAACGCTCAACGGAGCTCGACCAATCGATCAACAACGTCGGTACCGCCGAAAAATGCAATGTACAGTGTACCGTAATAACAACTACCGTAATATTGCATTATTACTACCCCCCCCGCGTTTTTGTTTGGCCACCTCGCCAAAAATAGTTATCGCCAAATAACGCAATATATATAATAACACCACCTTTACCGCCGAAGCAATTACCGCCTCACGGTATTTACCGCCGAAAATAAATGTGTCCGCCTCCTACAACAACACCGTTACCGGGGTACACCCTTGAAAAATATAGGCTTGACCATAGTAGTGCTACAATCTGAGAGGTATCCTCAAAATGGTCCATGCTCACGATGGGTATCGTGCGCTCCATTCGATCGCAGAAGACGGGTTTGCGCGAGTCGCAAAGAGCCGTCCGTACTTACTTCGGCCCTGAGAGCAACATCAAAATATACTTACTCGCTCGAGGGGACCTTGCGCTTCAAGATGTTCCAAGCGCTATATACAAACCACCGGCCAACAGATTCGGTCCTATGTAGGAAGTGCGATTGCTACACCCTTCAGAAAACATCTCTGCATCTCCTTTACCGTGCGCAGAAAAACAATATAAATATCAAAGGGGTGTGTGTTCATGACCGACCGCAGGCGACTACAGCAGCGCCAGCGCGGCAACCGCTACGTCAACAGGCGCGGCCACGGTGGGCCTCACGATTTCATCAACGCCAACAGTAGTCAAGGATGTGCAAACTCAGCGGTTACAGTCCTGTACCGCCGTGGCAGAGTCCCGAGACTGTTGTGGAAGTACAGGAGGAAAATATTGTGGGGGCGAGCGCCTCGGGAGAGAGCCATCATCTCGACATCGCGGGGAGCAACCTGCACACGGGCCGACGTACTTACACACACGGGCTCAAATATTTTTGAATTTTTTTTTTTTTGTCTTCACTTCAAATCAGAGCTCACAGCACTAGTGCCGTTTACTCCAACCCGTGGTCACACAGAAGAGCCCCTCTCTCCCCTCCCCTCCTGCGGTACTTTGCCTTGGATTTTTAATGCGAGAAGAGTTCAGCACTCTCTTCCCTCTGTGTACACACGAACTATGTAGCGCTATCCACTAGGCCTGAAGCGGAAGCGAGAGAGAAACTCACTTTGCAAGAAAAGCTCGCTTACGCCGGGATTCGAACCCCTGACCTGACCTCTAGGAGGTTTCGAGGATACCAACTAGACCACCGGGGCGACCGGCATTACCGAGAAACGTGTACGACGGGTAGTCCGACCTTGATCAAGGCTGCAAGAAACTCCTATCGGAATGAGTCCTACGTCCTTTTCTACTAACGGCGCTGTCGGACATACACCATTGTCCGATGAGTACTACAATGTGGTACCGAAGACTGTTAAGGTATCAATCCGTAGGTGTGTTCACAAGTGCCTCGCAGGGAACAACCTGGGCTTGGCAACTCTGCTTGCGAGGTGACGGAGAACGAACGCCCGACAAAGGGTGGAACCACCACCACCATGATCGACCGCGGCTGCTCACTATATCACCCGTAGATTTCAGCATTCCAGACGTATAGCTGCGTGCCCTAGATCGCCCGGCGTGCAGCTGGATGTTGATCATATTCCAAATCGGAGGCACGAGGGTGATAGGGCTGGCAAACAGAAGCAGTGGTGCCGCGGTTCCGTACTTGCTGCAGATGGCAAAGAGCAGTAGCCCTTCGACCTGAAAGAGCACCGCAAAGGCGAAAATAATCACCCTTTGCACCTTTGTCCTCGCCGCCAAGAGCGCAAAGTCTGCCACGGGAGTATCGCTGCTCCTGATCCTGATGCTGCAGGTTTCTCCAGCCTTTGCTCCTTCCTCTTCCCCCTCTTCTAGTACCACCCCGCCCGTCGTCTTCTTGTGCTGTACCTTTCGCCGTAGAACTTCCTCCTGCTGCGCCAGGTGCTCTTGCTTTTGCCAAATCGATTCATCTATCGCGTGCATGAGAGATCTCCCGCACAACCAGAAAGATGCCATCAAAGAAATCGAAAGCGTAATTATCCCAGCCGAAATAACTTTGATGGCCGTGATTTGATGGCCCCAAACACCTAGGGCACCTGCAACAGTCGGGGCGACGGAGACGAGGCCGTAGGTCGCAGCTTGCCCTCGGGAGGATTCCAGGAAGTGACATATCCTGAGCACCTCCGGGGATCGTTGCATTAACAAGCGATCGTTTCTGTGGTGCGCGAAGACGATCACGAGAGAGAGCCCAACGAGGAGGAAGTAGGGGTTCATGGGGAGCGCGGCTGATGCAATATGAAGCTCTCTTGGATGTAGTCATCGTACCGGGATCTCTCGGATTCAGTGGTGATGCCGCGTGGGCTTCACCCAATATTACAATCGGTATTGCGCCTACTGGTACTTCTTCTGCATTATTACGACGAAATGAACAGATTGCTTGGAAGCGATTATTGCGATCTTTGCATAGGTGAACAGTTTTTAGATTCCTTGTTTTGAGCTGAGGGACAGTACCAGGTGGTGGGTGCTTTGCGGTAAATCGTGGTGCGTGGCGTAATGGTTACAGATACATAGGACACTACCCCCAAGCTCTGAAAGCTAAGCGCGCCACCCACCAGCGCCCAACAACGTCAGCTAATTGCATCTACGAACGTACGTGTAGATCCACATGCGGGCAGCACAGACGGCCGCGCTGATGCAGACCGGTATCTGGAGCACGCTCAGCAACACAAACGACATCTGCAGGTCGTCTGCAAGTACCATGGCGAAGTATCCACCGCTAAGCAGAGCTGCGGCAAGTGCTGATCTGTGGAAGTGCAGGCGACATTTTTCGGCGGCCGCGGTCGAGGCCGATGCCAGCCGTCTGTGGAACTTGATCTGCTTGTTGTGCCGTGGCGCAACAATTCGTGAGAAAAAACAACATGTAGCAGACGGCAGGCAGACGTCGTAGTTAGTCAGTGCTCCAGGAGGGTGGACTATACCGGGGGAGGCATCGGGCAGAACATGCTCGTCGTTCGGTCGCACGTTTTGGCGGCGAGCTCGACGAATTTGTAGGCCCGGATTCCCGGTTTTTAAAGTATCTACATGAGCATTAATTTTATCCAGCACACACAATGTTTCAGCAGCGGCAGTGCACGTTGCCCACGCGAAGCGCTACTCATCCTCTGTACAAGACGTCATGACATGTCGAACGGAAAATTGGGGTGTTGTAGTGGTGCGCATGGCCAGCAACATTGGTCACTAGTGTTTCAGACTTTC